TGGCCCTCTTCGAGCGCTACAAAGACTATCTCCTCGGCGACTATTGCTATGGTCTCCGGTCCAGTGCTGACTCGGGGTCGCTAGTGCCCCCGTGGACCTTGGTCCTCAGCTACGAGCACGCTATCAGGAAGCACGCCTACAAGGTCATGGCCACAGCTGGCTACTCCTTCGGTGCTGCGCTAGTCCTGGCCTACAAGGACGCTAGCGTCAAAGAGCGGCACTTCACGACGCCGCTAGCCCTCCATGCTAAGCGGCCGCAGCCCTGGACCTCCACAGAGGATCGGCCCGCTAAGACCCCCAAGGGGAAGGGCAAAGGCAAAGATGGCCCCCCCAAAGGGGGAAAAGCTAAGAAGCGCTTGGGTGCCGATCGCACCCCGCAGGGGAAGCCCATCTGCTTCCGCTACAATGCTAAGGGGTGCAAGAATGGCAACAAGTGCCACTTCGAGCACGTTTGCTCGCTATGCTTCGGCAAGCACCCAGCTACCAAGTGCCCGAGCAAGCAGACCGACGCAGCTAAGGAGGACAAGCCCTCCAACTGACCCGCTACGGCGGCTGCGCCCTCGGTGCCTGTGACCCCCCCCGGGGGGGATGCTACGCCAGACCCACCGGCCGCTATGCCGGCAGCGCCGGCCGCTACGCTGACAAAGCCGCTACGGGTGCTCTACCTTTTCTCGGGTACCTCGCGCCGGCTAGATGTGGCGCAGTGCTTGCACCAGCTAGCGGCAGAGTGGAGAAACGACGTGAGGGTCGAGTGTGTCGACCTGCTACGGCACGCTAAATACGACCTCAGTCAGCCCAAGATTCGGCAAAGCTACCTGGACCGGATCGCTAGCAAGGAGTTCGCCGCGGTGGTGCTCTCCCCGCCGTGCGCTAGCTTCTCCAGAGCACCTTGGGCTAACTTTCAAGGGCCTCGCCCGGTGCGCAGCTACGAGTTTCCCCGAGGTCTGGAAACGCTAACGCCTGCTGAACGAGACCGCGCTATCCTGGGCAACATTTTTGCGGATTTCAGCTTCGAGGTCGCTACCCTCGTGGCCGATGGTGCAGCTACCTTCCTGGCCATGGAACAGCCCGAGGACCTTGGTGCCCTCGCTAAGGGCCCGCACAAAGGAGCACGGCCGGCCTCTATGTGGCAGTGGCCGCCGCTAGCCACCCTTCTGGAAAAGGGGCTACGGACCGTGGCCTTCCACCAGGCTAGTTTTGGTACGCCATACGCTAAGCCTACACGGCTACTCCTGAAGTGTTCTTCCGCTATGCCAGACTTTGTGCACGAAGGCCTGCCGTGCTATGACAAAAAGGGCTGCTACACAGGACCGCTGCCTTCTGCTACCTACCTTGGGTCGCATGTTCAAACGCGCCGCTAAGGGCCCCTTCAAGACCTCAGGTTCCGAGAAGTGGCCCGCTAGGATGTGCCAGTGGCTGGCTACCCTGATTCTGGACTCCTGCCAGCACCCTGCTACCGCTGCCCAGGGGGAGGGGGGTGGCGCTAGGCCGGAGTGCCCGCTACCCGAGACCTTCCCGACCTGTGAGCCGGAGGGTCCGCGAGTGCTAGGGGGTTCAGGACCACCAAGGACCTGCCAACAGCTAGGTGGCAACAAGAGCTACCACGATGGTGGGGGCCTCTGCTCCCCAGGACGCTGGCCCCACGCTACCCGCAGCTATGCCGATGGTCCCAACTGGAACTGGCTACGGGAGAAGATGATGGAGGTGATCCTCGCTAAGGTGGGTTCGGAGGCGGAGCTAGAGAAGGAAGCCTTCCGAATGGCGGCCGGAGGGGCCAAGGGCTGTGCCCTGGCTAGCTCCGAAGACCTCCAGGAGCAGCTACGCTTGATCTGGAAAGAGTGGCTGGAAGCTAACGACTTGGGGGACCCGGAGCTGCTGAAGGTGGCCCCGGGGCAACCGCTATACCTTCGCCTCATTCGGGCGCTACTGACCGCGGCCGGCGATCCCGACAGGGACTTCCTCCTCCAGGCCGAGGAGGGGCTACCGGTGGGGGTGAGAGACCCGCTACCACGCACTCCCCACGTCTTCGAGGAGCAGCTAAAGTGGCCTTTGGAGAACGCCCCTTGGGAGGCGGCGCTAGCCTGGGTCCCGAACTACTCCTCGGTGGAGGAGTACCGGGAGTTCGCTAGGGAGAAGTTCGAAGAGGACGTGGCGGAGGGCCTCATGGTCAAGATGACGCTAGGCGAGTTCAAAGCCCGCTATGGCGAGCATCGAGCCATCGCTGCGCTAGCTGTCATCGTCGAGGACGAAGCTAGTGGAAAGAAGAGGATGATCCACGACGCTACTCACGGGGTCCGGGTCAACCACCGCATCAAGTGCAGGGATAAGATCCGGGCCCCGGGAGCTAGGGAGAAGAAGCAGCTACTTCGGGAACACATCGACGCTAACGAGGTGGCTTTCTCCGTGGTGGGCGACATCGCTAAGGCTCACCGACGCTACAAGCATGCGGAAGGGGAGCATGGCTACTTGGGGTGTCAGATCGACACCGAGGAAGCTACACCGGGGGACCCCGACAGCCAGACGGTTTACGTTAACCTGGTGGGGACCTTCGGGCTATCCTGCGCGAGCTACTGGTGGACCCGCATAGCGGCGTGTGGGCTTCGGCTCACGTACCACCTGCTAGGGCCATCGTTCCCGCTAGACATGCTCCTCTATGCCGACGACCTCGAGTCCTTGGGCCGGGGGGCTAGAGGGCGCATGGGGATCCCGCTAAGCTATCTCTTCCTCGCTAGTCTTGGGTACCCCTTCAAGTGGGCCAAGACGAGGGGGGGATTTCGGGTGGAGTGGCTAGGCATGGAGACGGAGTACTCCACCTGGAGGCTAGGTCTGTCTCAGAAGAGAACCGACTGGCTAGTGGAATGGCTACGGAAGCTAGTCCGTGACGGGAAGTGCGAGGCCCGGCCCTTTGCTCAGGGGCTAGGGCGCCTGGGGTTCGCTTCCATGGCGCTAGACTGGGAGCGCCCCTTCTTGGGACCGCTACACGCCTGGTCTTCAGCCGTACAAGGGAAGCTGGGGATCCTCACGCTACCCACGATGATCCGCGTCCTCTGTGGCTGGCTAGCAGACCGTTTAGCAGCGGGGGGCCGTCTCCAGAAGCCGGCCTCGCTATTGGACGGGGCGGCACCGCTCTCCTTTTACACCGACGCTAAGGCCGAGAACGGACGTGCCTGGATTGGGGGCTTCCTCGAGCTAGTGGACGGCTGCCACGGTCCCTGGTTCTCGCTAGAGGTGAAGAAGGAATGGGCCCCCTGGGCCTTCGCTAAAGGAGACCCGAACAAGGTCATAGCCGCGCTGGAGCTACTGGCTACTCTGGTTGGTGTGAGGCTCTGGGTACCGGAAGGGGATGCTAAGAAGACCTCCAAGGTGGCCATCCGTGGCTACACTGACAACCAGTCCAACGAAGCGCTACTGAAGAAGGCTATGACGACGAAGTTCCCGTCGACCCTGGTGTTGATGGAGCTAGCAGAGGAACTCTCCGCTAAGAACTGTGAGCTTCAGCTACAGTGGGTCCGCAGGGATCTGAACCAGCTAGCGGACGACCTCACGAACGAGAACTTCGCTAGTTTCTCCCCGGACTTCAGGGTGAACCTGGAGGGGGGGAAGCTAGAGTGGCGCGTGCTGGGCCGTCTCCTCGAACACTCGGCTAGCTACTTCCAAGAGCTAGGAGTGAGGAAAAGGACCAGAGAGCCGAAGGCTCCGAGGTTCGCTAAGAAGGCCCGTAAGCTAGGTCCCTGGTAGCCCTACGGCTGCGCAAGGAGATTAGCTAGCCAAAGGCTAGAGTTCTTCTCCGGGCTAACGCGGGACTTCGCCACAACGCTAAAAAGAGAGAAGTTCGTGTTGTCCGTGCTACTGCGTGAAGCCAGCTAGCTTAAGCTAGGCTTGCTACGTACTCCCCGGAGGTGTAGAGGGAGGTGGCGGGAGGATACGCTAGCTAGTGTACGCACTCGTGCCGAGGGACGAGGTACGACAGTGTATGCTAGCGCCAGTATCCCTCTGGGAAACATCGAAGGTGTTTCGCTAGAAAACGTCGAAGGGGTTTTCCTCTGAAGCTAAACAGAACGAAGCTTGTCTGTTTGCTAGAGTGTCTGCACATGGCCGGTGAAGCAGTGCTACCCCGTGGCCATTGTGCTGAAAGGCCCCCAGCTATTGGGGGGCAAATTTCGAGTGCCCACCCAACCCACCCTGGAGATTAGCTAGCCAAAGGCTAGAGTTCTTCTCCGGGCTAACGCGGGACTTCGCCACAACGCTAAAAAGAGAGAAGTTCGTGTTGTCCGTGCTACTGCGTGAAGCCAGCTAGCTTAAGCTAGGCTTGCTACGTACTCCCCGGAGGTGTAGAGGGAGGTGGCGGGAGGATACGCTAGCTAGTGTACCTTGAGTTACCCCATGATTAGCAGCAGCCCGGCCGTGGCCACCATAGCGTCCGCATAGGTAGCGATCTTGTGCTCTAGCTGCCCGGCCCGACCCAGTCGCGGCATCAGGTAGTCTCGGGCGTAGTTAGCGTGGGCCTTGAGGAGGTCGAATCCGGTGACCAGCCAGCCCTTAGCGACCACGAAAGCGTGCTCGGAGACCACCACAGGTAGCTCTTTCACCCTTCTTGTAGCCCCCGACGTTTTCGTCTTCCGGAGGGTCGTGGTGAGGCGACCCTCCAGTAACCGTAGCTCAGCAGGCAAGATGGCCTGCAGGTCGGCCCATCTTAGCGTGGCCCACACCTTGACCAACTTAGCCCAAGCCCAAACCCGCCAGCCAACAGCCAAGGTAGGGTTTAGCTCGAGCATCAGCCTGCACAAAATCGCATGCCGCTGGTTTGGGAGTTCGCTCTCTGGGATAGCCCTCCTTGTGACTGGGAAAGTATTTTGCATATCCTCCAGCCGAGAATCTTTGATGCGAAAAAGAGATGTCCCATCTGTGATCAATGGCTGATAAAATCGCGAGGGCTCAGTCATCATGTGAAAGCATTCCACCCGTGGGCCACTGACTTGCTGGACAGAGCCTACATGCAGATGCAACGCACACGCCGCAGTCTCATTTTGAGCTCCCCGTGTCGATACTGCCGGGTCACTTTTCGCTGCCACGAGGCTAAACATGCGGGAGAATGCTCTGCTATTGTGCTAGCTCGTTTCTTGGCCACATTGCTCATGCCAGGCTCCAACCATGGATCTCGAGTGCCTGTCGATGGAGGAGATTCAAGCCGCGGCAGCAGAGCTCACCCACCTGCAGACTTCGGCGCTCAGAGGCGAAGCCTTTGGCACTACTTGCGCCAAGCGGCCCCCTCAGGCTCAGACCTCCTACAGACAGCAGCTGAGAAGTTTCTGAAGCCAACTCCAACCTCCAACAAGGGTGCAGGCAAGGGCCAGGGCACGAAGGGTGCCAACTCCGAGCCCAGCAACAGAGCCAAACGGCGCCAACAGCAACTGCAAAAGCAGCAAGGACCCGCAGCCCCCAACAACGAAGCCTCGACTTCTACCGAGAACCTCACCCGGCTGGTCCAGCAGGTAGCGGGATTGGCCCTGCGCCACGAAGACCAGTTTGGAGTGCTCAGCCAAAGCACGTCTTGGGTTCTCTTTGCGGGGACAGCCCCGCCGTTGTCGGTCGTACCGGCGATGGCCAAAGTTGCACAGCAGTGGAGCAAGGAACAGGAGGAGAGTCCGGGCACACTGAAGTTCCCCCACAGAGTGATTCTCTTTCAGTGCTTCATCTTCGAGTGGGGGCAGGCCCTGGAAAAGATCAATCAGGATCCGACCTTCAAGGCAGAAGCGATCAGATTGGAGATTCTTCAGGAGCCCGATCAGCTTCCATACCTCCGATGGAATCCGGAGGTTCGCCAGATGGAGGTCATCAAGGATCGCATGCCGTTGCGCCTCAACGAGGTGTTGCAAATGCTTCGAGAACTCACGGTCCTCAGCGCCACGGAGGGGGTCATCACTCGATTTCACTCCACGAGAGACCTCTCAGAGGAACTTCTAGGACCGACTCTCACCTTCAAGTTGGAGCTCGGCCTGCGGGAGGTCAAGACGTTTCGGTTCTGGCAGATTTTGGAGAGTCTGACCGGAAGCTCTGCCCTCCGGGTCGTTGCATCGACCCTCCGCAGAGAGAGGATGCAGAGATCTCCACTCGCGGTGAGGATCGCCGAAGCAATCCGTCGCAAGCAGCTCTTCTGCAGAGTCTCCTACATCTTGTGTTGAGTAACCCTGCCAATGACTGCTATGCTAACTCTACTCTGCTGGCGGTTCTGTGGTGCTCTGCTCATCTAGGTGATCTAGCAGCTGCGTTGCCACGAGCGCTGGCTGATGATCTACTGGAGGTGTTGCAATCCTCCGAGCCCACACATCTCTGGTCCCGCCCTCTCTGGCGCAGGACTCTCCGGAGATGGCCGGATACAGGCCGGCAACAGGACGCGGCGGAGTTTCTTGTCTTTCTTCACTCACAGCGTTTGTTGGAGTTCTGTCAGGGATCATGGGCCTCCTTAGTTGCGAACTGCCTCAGGGACAGAGGGGGAGTCTGTCCAATCTTCCTCTCAGTCCTACCGGAGGAAGTTGCGAGCTCCAGAGGCGGCTGTAGTCTGCAGGCCATCGTCTCTGCATGGCAACGGAGTAACGAGTCTCCACCTGTGATTGTCTCAGGTACACAAGCAGTGGCTCTTCAGCTGAACCGCTTCCGAGCGGAGCACAGGCAAGTTGTGAAGAACTGCACCCCAGTGTCCCTCCCCAGAGAGGTCCAACTTGTTACCTGGGTTGAAGGTTCTGCCATAAACCTCTTGCCTTCCGCTTGTGCTCAGCCCAAGTCCACCTGGGGGAGACGCCCCATAGTGGGCACTACCGCACAGTCCTTTTTCGGCCTGATGGCACACTGTGGATCACGGACGACGCGATGACTGCTAGGCGTGTTGTTCGTAGTGATGCTGATTTCATCCGTAGCAACGTCTATCTTGTTTACTTGAGTCCGATCCATCGTGATGCTTCAGCTGCCGTAAGTAGTTTTGCAAGGCAGGAGTCCTGACGTCTGTCAGCAGTGGAGGGACTCACTGCGCGTAGGCCCTTTGGGGCGGGTGAGTCCTAAGAGTAGGGAGGGAAGAGCCCTCCGCAGCTCAGCTGCCGCATCAAAGATGCGCTACATTGCGCTTGGCGAATCTGGACATTTGCCGCGAGGGAAGTGAAGTCTCTTGGAGGCAGAACCGCAGCCCCCAGGGGCATCTTTTGGTGGAGTTTGGGAAGCGAGTTTGATTTGGCAGCCTGGTGGGTTACAACTTGCTGGGCTCTACGGCTCTTTTCTGGAAGTGAGGTTTCAACCTCACGGCTGGGACGGCGGAATGGATGGAACGCAAGGAGAGCAACAGCCACAGCAAGGACAACAGCAGCCACAACAAGGACCGCAACAGCCGCAGCAACAGCAGGCCAATGGCGGGCAAGGGGCCCAGGGAGTTGGGCCGGAGATGCTTGACCGACTGGTGAAGCAGCGCATGGAACAGGCCTTTGGAGCTGTTTTTGAAAAGCTGCTGGAAAGCAGCGAGAAGGCTGCCAAGGCAGCCCAAGATAACATGGCGACGCAGCGGGGCGAGAACCTCATGAAGGGTGTCAAGGTGGATCAATGGAAGCCTGGAAGCAGAGAGGAGGAACTGAGGACCTGGCGCGAGTGGTGGTTCACTTTCAGTAACTACTTGGTGTCGAACGAGCCCCTTTATGAAGAGGACCTGCGCAACCTCGACCAGGACACCGAGGTGACCCACGACCTTCTTCCAGATGACATGGTGGGCCGCAGCCAGCGGCTATATGGGCTATTGTGCTCATTGGTTCGTGGGCGCCCCCTTCTGCTTATCAAGGGCTGTGATGGCACAAAGTGCGGCTATGAGGCCATCCGCGTTTTGCGGAACGAGATGGAGCCGCGTGAGAAAGCCAGGTCTCTGGCTTTGCTTCGGAGCTTGGCTTCGTGGAGGTTCGACCCCCAGCAGGGCTTACACGAGCAGCTGGTGAAGTACGAGGAGCAGCTCAAGACCTATGAGCTTTCAGCTGCGAAGAAGTTCCCGGAGGACTTGGTCTTGGCGACGGTTCTCACGGGAATGAGGGAGCCTCTGCGTTCCCAGTTGCAGTTGCGCATGACGCCGGAGACAAAGTACAGCGAGATCAGGGAATGGATCCTGCAATGGGAAAGCCTCAACACACCGTGGGGCAGCACAGGAAAGGGCGGCGGCAAAGATGATGGAGGCCAGCGACCCATGGACGTCGACCAGATCAAGGGCAAGAAGGGCAAGAAGGGGAAAGAAGGAAAAGGAAAAGGAAAGGGCAAAGACCAGAAGGGCAAGGGGAAGAACACCAAGGGCAAGGACGGCAAGCCGACCTATGACACCGGCGGCAAGGGCAACCAGAGTTCCTGGGGAAGTTCTTCCTGGGGGTCCGGATGGGACCCAGAAGGCTGCCGGATTTGCGGGCAGCGCGGCCACTGGAAGTGGGAATGCCCACAGAAAGGAAAGGGATGGAGGGATCCCAACGACGAGGGCAAAGCAAAAGGGAAAGGCGGCAAGGTGCATCAAGTGGAGCAGGTGCCAGGAGGTGGTGCATCAACGGCGGGATCGGTGGCTGCCTCCTCGGCTTCTACCTCTTTGCCTCCGTCTGCCTCTGTATATAGAGGCAGCTCGGCCTCAGTGAACATGGTTGCGTTTGCCCTTGAGGAGAGCGAGCAGCAGTGCCCGAGGATCACGGAGGTTTTCGATTTGACCAAGCTTGATGAGGAGCACGGCGGCAGCTTCGGGCTGGAAACCCGGGACGTCATGATGGTGAAGGCCGCCCCTGAGGAGCTGTATGGGGTCCCCTTTGAAGCGAATGAGGCGCACAGCTTTGAGGTCGACCGGGGCGTCCCCACCTTTGCCATGGACGCCACTGACGGCGATGATGAGTGGGACTTCTCCCCGGAGCTTCTTGCCAGGGAGCCCTTGCAGGTCAATGCGGTGAGCTGCGCCAAGGAGATCGAGGTGATCATTGATTCGGGCGCCGACGTGTCGGTTGCCCCTCTGCGTCTTGGTGCTTATGGTAAGGTCGCAAAAGGGCTGGGCTACAAGATGCAAGATGCGCAGGGGAAGCTCATCAAGGAGGTGGGCTGCCGGATCATCGACGTGGCCATGCGCACCGTTTGTGGTGGTGAAGTGGTGGTGCGCGAGCGGTTTGCCATTGCAAAGATCAGCTCGGTGATCATGAGCCTCGGCCGCCTTTTGCGGTGGGGCTGGCAGCTCTCAAGTCACGACGGCGGCCCAGCCATTGAGAAGGGCGAGCACAAGGTGCCAATCACGCTGAGAAGGAACACCTTGACAATCCCGGCCATCGTCGCGGCGGTTGTGGTCGGGCCGGCTGGAGAACAGCCGGTGAACACCTTTGATGACCTGGGGCAGCTTCCGAAGGTTGCCGAGGACCTCGTGAAAAGGCCTGGCTGGGGAATTCTTCCTAGCGGGCTGCCTCTTCTGAGCATACACAAGACCGAGGAGCTGAACTTAGAGCAGTCCATTTGGTCAGCAGACGATTGGGCCTGGATCGCGGTCTTTGTCCGGGTCGAGGAAGCGACCAGGCCGCCCCGGCCTGGAGATGTTTGGGTTTTGCTCCTGACGCTCAGGAGCCATGAGTTCGAGCACGTCCCCCAGAAGATTGTGGAGCTGGAGGAGGACCTAGGTGGACGGCGAGATGTGGCTATCCTCTTCCACGTCGAGGAGCTCAAGAAGGACCTGCTTAGCAACCCCGGGGACGTCTTTGAGGACACGCAAGGCGGTGGTGATGAAGTTCCGGCCCCAGTCCCTATGGAGGAGGATGCCGGTGGCATTGGAGAGAGCCCTCTTGAGATTGAGTTCGAGGGCGAGCCGCTTGAAGCCCCGGCTGGCGAGGAGCAGGACGTCCTTGAGGACTTGAGGGTGTGCGCCTTCATGTGGAGACGCCGCTGAAGAAGTTGAAGGAGCTCTGCGACCAGCTTGGTCTTTCACGAAGTGGAGGAAATGGGAAGGTCTTGGGAAGGCTGAGGCAACAAAGGGAAGTCCTTGAAAAGAGGATGACCGCCGAGGTTGCCAAGAAGATGTACTTGGAAGGTGCCCGGGATGCAGACATGCCTCGCATCCCAATCCTTCCTTCGGCTAAGCAACAGGAGCTGCACAGTATCACGCATCATCCTTTTCAGAGTTGGTGCGAGCACTGCGTGGTGGGCCGAAGCAAGCAGTCGCCCCACGCACAAATACAGCAAGATGTCGAGCAGAAGGTCGACGAGAAGGTGCGGGTTGACCCGGTGATCCAGATTGACTATGCCTTCTTACTTTGGTGGCAGCCGAGAGCACGACGGGCTGGGTGCTTGTGATCCCGGTCCAAGAGAAGGGAGCTAGATCTCTGGCCCCGGGGACGCCATCACCGTGCAGGGCGACCCGGAACCCTCGATAAAGCAAATCCTGAATGCAGTAGAGGCCTGCCGTGCGAGGTTGGGTCTCAAGGCGGCAAGAGAAGGGGTCCCACGAAAGCAACGGCCAAGCCGAGAAGGCGATCGACAATGTTCGCCGCAACAGCCTGACCTTGAAGTCCTACCTCGAGGCCCACATCAAGGCGAAGGTCGAGGGAGACAAGCATGTGTATGCGTGGGTGATGCGGCACGCAGGCTTCCTGATGAACAGGTTTGCGGTTGGAGTTCGGGGCGACACAAGCTTTGAGATCATGAACGGCAGGAGGTATAAAGCAAAGTTGGTCCCCTTCGGTGAGCAGGTAATTTTTCACAGGCCCACCAAGCATCGTGGAGAGCTGCAATGGACCAAGGGCATCTTCTTGGGCATCAACGACAGGAACAATGCCTTCATTTTGGGCACAAGCGAGGGGGCCGTCGAGAGCAGAAGTATCAGGCGGCTGCCAGTGGAGCAGCAATGGGATGCAGCGGCCGTGCTCGGGATGAAAGGGTTGCCCTGGAACTACCAGGGCCAAGGCCGCCGCAAGCGAGCCCTTTACACACAACGGGTCCCCTTGTTGCCCGACACAGCGACCTTAGAGCAGCTGGCGATGGCAGCCGGCCAAGCAGCCGCAGAGACTATAGCGGCAGCAACGCCAGGAATGAAACCTCCTGGTGACGAAGCGGCAAGCGACCCCCCTTCTACTCCAAAGTCAAGTTCGTCTTCTACCTCTTCTTCTCCAAGCCCAACGGGGGTGCCAGCTGAAGCAGAGCAGCAGCGAGAGCAGCAACAGAACACACGCGCGCAGAACCCGAAGGACAATCACAGCTCTCTGGTCCAATGGCGGTAGATGCTGAAGCAGGTCAGCGGCAAGAACAGCAGCAGCAGAACACACACACACAGAACCCGGAGGACAATCACAGCTCTCTGGTCCTGGTCCAATGCAAGGTGTGTCTGGGGAATCAGCAGGCGCAGACCAAAGCAACCAAGGCGGTGGTCCACAAAAGCGTGCAAGGCTTTTGCTTCACAGGCCAGGAACCAGGACGCCAGCAGCATCATCAACAGTTAGCCCGGAAGGTCTCTATCCCCTTACTTTTGCAGGTGTCCGGCACGTCCATGGTGATGTTCTTCCGGAGGAGCTTTGTGGTTTTGCCGATTGGGGCGAGGACCTTCAAGAGGCCATAGCTGAGGCGTGGGAGGAGGACGATGAGGTCCCACATCCTTGGGACAGTGGTGGCGAGGATCCACCCAATGTGTCGGAGGAGGACCTCATGAAGATCGACAGGGAAGCCGACAGAGTCGAGATTACAAGACTTCTTGAAATGGGGGTGGTTCGGTGGCCAAAGCCTGGCGAGGATCTGTCAGCCCACAGCCTCCTCACAACCAAGGTGGTCAGGGACTGGAGAAAAAGGCCAGGGTGGATTAGGAAAAGCCGCCTTGTTGGGCGGGAGTATCGCACGCTGAGCGCATGGACCGAGGACTTGTTTGCTCCATCCACCAGCCTGGCCGTGATCCACTCTTTCATTTGCTTTGCCCTGTCCCAGGACCTCAACCTTTACACCTGCGATGTGAAAGACGCGTATCTCAATGTGCCGCAGCCGACCCCGGTGATCATCCAGGTGGATCGGGCAGTTTTCGGTGAAAGTGGAGGCGGATTTGTGGAGCTGGTGTTGGAAAAGCTCTTGCCCGGCCAAAGGGCAGGAGCGAGCGGGTGGTACAACTTCGCGAAAACCATCCTCCCTGAAGAGGCCAACTTCGACTACTTCATCAAGGAGCCCACTCTTTTCAAGACCAGGGACCCGAAGGAAAAGACGGGTCTTCTACTTCATGCAGATGATGGCTTGTTGGCCGCGACAAAAGAGCAGAAGGAGAAGTTTGAAAAACAAGTTGGAAGCAAGGTGACGCTGCAAATGAGCAGCCCACTGGCCGAGATTGGAGATGAGATCGAGTTCCTCAAAAGACGCTATGTGAGGACAAGCGAGGGTGTGGTTGTCTTCTCCAACGGCAAGTATATCGAGGCCCTTTCAGCGCAGCTCGGGCCAAACATCAAGAGGAGGGACAGCCCGAGCGACCCGACCTTCCTGGAGCCCGACACCAGCAAGGAGCTTGCGCCCCTCGAGGCGAAGCTCTACAAAGAAAGTGTCGGCCGGCTGATGTACCTCAGCCACTCAAGGCCAGACATCCAGTTCCCAGTGTGCATCCTGAGCTCCAAGATGAGTGCACCCACGACCATTGCCAAGAAATGGTTGCTGAGAGTTGTGGGATATCTTCTCAACACCCCAGAGGTCGGCTTTCTTCTTCGACCGGCCCGGGACAACATGAACTACGACTACGGTGGAGATGGTGACTTGAAGGAAGGTGGAACCTTGGTGGTGGAAAGCATCACAGATGCCGATTGGGCAGGATGCAGGAGGAGCCGCAAGTCGAGGACCTCACTCCAGCTGTATGTCTCAGGCAGCTTGGTTGGAAGTGCAGTGCGGTCACAGAAGCCCATTGCTTCAAGCAGTGGAGAGAGCGAGTTTGTTGCGGTGGTGGCCGGTGCTTGTGAGGCCCTCTACTTGAAGGATTGCCTTGCCTTCCTGGCTGGGCCCAGCTTTGAGATCGAGGTCAAGTGCAGGGGAGCCCGAACCCCTGACCTCGAGCGCTACGGTGTTGAAGACATGGAGAATGCCGAGTACAAGCGCGAGGTTCAGAAGACCTTGAAGGAGTTCAAGAGCGGAGGCGCAAAAGTGAACAATGTGAAGGCGATGCTTCCCTTGCTTATTTTGATGATGCAGGCCACCAGCGTCCAGGGCTTGAGCTGGGTTACGCCACTAAGCGCAATGATGAATGAGGAAATGGTGGCCGAGCTTGCAGCCACGGCCGTGATCGGGATGATTGGTTTGGTGGTTCTTCTGGGAATGCCGTTTGTCATCTACAAGGTTGCATGGTGGTTGCTTGGGTGCTGTTGGTCTTCTCGGAAGGCCGCCTGCAGCAGAGGAGTGCGGACAAGGCCGGCAGAAGCGACGCCAGTTGCCAACAGGAGCAGCGAGACCCAAGCCAACCTCGGAATGAGCCCAAGCGAGAAAAGGTTTGCGGACGAATATGTTCGCCGTTGCCGTGAGCTGGAGAGCTTAGTACGAAAGAAGCAGGGAAGCCGAACGCTACGAAGAGGAGATCGTGAACCTGAGGCGAGAGAACCGTGAGCTTCAGGAAAGACTCGAGAGAGTAAGGGCACGACGGGTGCCCGGACTTTTGAAAGTTGCCTCAAATCGGGGGCAACGCTTCCACTTGCCCACATGCGGTCACATAATCAATTCAGCGACGAAGAGTTACACACCATGTGCTGACTGCATAGGGCAAGCGGGCTTTTAAATAGGTTTTCCACTGCGACCAGCTGAAGATAGGAGGCTAGCCGCAGTGAGGCGGGGTGTCACACGTTGTACCCCACTGAGGGGAGATCATTCGCACTATCCGAAGCCCTGGCTTACAAGGAAAAGGGAGCGCTTTTCAATAGTAGTACGGTAATAGTACAGTAGTAAAAGTACAAGAGTAGTACAGTAGTACAGTAGTAGTACAGTAGTAGTACAGTAGTAGTACAGTAGTAGTACAGTAGTACAAGAGTAGTACAATAGTAGTACAGTAGTACAATAGTAGTACAGTAGTAGTAGTACAGTAGTAGTAGTACAGTAGTAGTAGTAGTAGTAGTAGTAGTAGTAGTAGTAGTAGTAGTAGTAGTAGTAGTAGTAGCGAACGGACGTCGATGACTAGTCCAATCGTGAGCATCGCGGTATGAGCTATGTAGACAAAGGCATTATGACGTTGCTTATTCACAACACTACCCGGGGCCACTTAGTGGACTGGGCAGTGTACCTTGGGGTCACGTAGTGGACCAAGGGTGGAAGAGCACAACGTATATGCATCCGCATTCAATGCAACATTGGCTCAAGAACTTAACTAGCCAAGCTAGCAGGTGATCCTATCAAAGAGTAGCTGAGCTATCCCGCGCACAAACCGATCGACCTTCGGACGTCGGAAGACAAAGAAGGGTTGAGCGTGCCTGCAAGGGGAACTTCTGGAGAGCAGAGAGGACATACACTATATTTTGGTGGGCAGCCACATACAACTACAACATCAAGCTCTGGTGAGGAGGGCAAACTTGGGTATCAACGATATCAGAACCTCACGCAGGTTATCAGCCGTAGGCTCTGCCTACAAAGAGAAGGTTGTCCCTGCTCTGTGGCTACTCCAATGGCATCTGGATCGAGCAATGACACATCCTGGACTTTCGGTGGTACAGCAGAAGCGGCAGCAGCTGGAGAATCCACTGCTGACGACACGGTGGTGCAATCCGTTGACAGCTCCACCGAGGAGGAGAAAGCAAAGGCATCCTCTTCTGCTACACCGAAGCCAGCTCCCAAAGCAAGGAATTTGTCAAGGGCATCAACGCCTTCTCGGCCAGCATCAGCAGGATCAAAAGCAATCAAAGACATTGATCGTGGTCAAAGGACACCAGCGATGCCTGTCATGCAGGCGCTACGTATGTCAAGAGGAAAGGACAAAGGTTCGAGAGCGCCGGAACGGATTCCCAAACCTGGTTCATCGAGAAGTCCTTCAGCAAGGAGCCCCAAAAGCACGACCAAGGTGATGGACAAGACCCAATCTCCACCCTCAAAGAGGAACAGTCCTTCCGAGATGGAAGCACGATCGAGGTTGCGGACTACTACCCGTCCTGAGGACGATGCGATGGATCACACTCCAGCTATCGAGGACATCTCAACGATCGGATTTCCTACTCCAGCCGAAGAAGAACGACCAGGACGGTCTGGTGAACAAGTGGATACCGAGCCCTTTGCACAGCAGATGTTCTACCAGAGCGAAATCCAGAAGTTCGAGACGGTTGTGAACTACTTGATGGCGGAGATTCGAGAAATGAAACAGGAAGATGAAGGTTCCGAGATGCGTATTCAGGAATTGGATTGACAACGTGACACAGCTCATCTCGCAATGCAGCATATGAACAGCAAGCATCAGGAGATGAAGGCCGAATGTGAAAACTCTATGGCAAAGCTGATGGATGAAGCCAATGCTCAACTACGCCATGATCGTCAGGCAGCTGATGAGATGATCAACTGTTTGCATCGTGAAAGAGTGGAACTCGTCAAGCACCTCGTCAAGGCAGAAGAAACGTCACATGGTGAGGGGCACAGCATGGCCAAAGAGTATGAACGCCTATCAGCAGAACTTCATGAAAGGGCAAGAGAAACTTTACAGTTGCGAGCCGAAGCAGACAGCAACAGGCATGCTTTTCATTCCATGAGGGAACACCGCCAACTTGTCAAGAACGAGGAATTGGTTGTCGCACAACACATGTCAGATCGTCAAGTCGATGCTGCACGTAACATCTTGTTCTTCGACAACGACTTGCTGAAGAAGAAGAGCATCGCATGAAGGCTATGCGAAGGTTAGCACAGGCTGAGGATCAACTTCGGAATACAGAAGACAATGCGAGACAATCATTGCCAACGTTGCACGAAGAACTGAACGAATTGAGAAGGACCCTGAAACTTCAGGAGGACGTCAACGCGAGGACACGAAGCGAACTCGATGCTTGTCGTCAAGTCCCCAATCTCGGTTCTGAACAGTCAAGCATACCCATTTCGTCGAGAACTACTGAGTTGGGCTGGGAGTGCGTAGGTAAGGAACGCGTCATGTCTTTTCCAGTAGGTTCAGATGTGCGATCCCCCGAAGGTGTATCTCCTAGTCTCCGAAGTCCCGCAAACCGTGACAAGGTCGGTGTGGTGGAAAGTCATTCACGAACCTGTTCCGTTGGTTGTTGAAGGAGTGCCGCCCGAGTGTTCACCACAGGGCGCGCAAGGGCCTCTGTCCGGGCGTTCGCCGCAGGACAGCAGCAGCTACGGAGAAAATCAGAAGGCGCTACAACCGCTGGACGCGCGCGCTGTACGTGAACGGCAACTTCGGGAGCTACTACAAACATTGGGAATGACGGGACAATCCTCCTCGTCATCCTCCAGTGCCTCTCGCAATGCCGCAAACGACCGTGGCGTTGCGTCAGACTATGCAGTTGCAAAGCCTGTGGTGGCAGAATCCAGTAATCCAGGACCTTGTGACGGTACCCTCGATGCTAGGATAGTACTCATGCAAGAAGAACACCAACAACAGCTCGAGGAAATGCGCATGGAAATGGAACAAGCTCAGAGAGCGGAACGAAGACTCCGTATTGATCGAGACGAATGGCGGCAAGTTCCAGAGAGTTTCCAGAATCAGGATGATGATCCCGATGAAGAAGAAGAAGGAGATGAAGAAGATCGTGATGATCCTTCAAATCCCGGCGGACACCCTCTCCCGAGCCCGAAGGCGGTGGCGACGGTGGCGACCCGCCTCGCAAACCAGGCAAGGGCCCAGATCCAGACCCACCTGATGGAGATGATCCTGACGGAGGAGATGATCCGGAGGTCACCGAGGTAAAAATCTCTCGTCGTGAAGCAGATAAAGTCGTTGTTCCTTCCTTCCCAACGGTGACGCACATAGACAACTGGATGGCTCAATGCATTGCGAGTGTATTAAGCGCATGTGCAGACCCTAATCAGGAAGAGTGGATGATGTGGCTGAGGCCAGCATTTCGACCATTCCCTGACATTGAGGCGTTGAATGACTCTGGTCACAAGAAGTTCAAGAGCATCGATGTCAAACTAGGGGTTGCAATGACGTGGAAGTGAACAGAAAAGCCAACGAGTATGTCCGGTCATTCCAAGGAAAGATCATCAAAGGAAGGCAGATCATCGCAATGATGTACGAAAGCTTCCGAACTCGCGACAGGCTCGACATGATCGTGTCGTTGGAGTACCTGATCAAGATCCAATACCAAGGTGACAACAAGTTGTACCAGTTCAAGCAGACATGGTTGGAAATTCTCAACCGAATGTGACCTGAAGACGTTCCGTCAGACAAGGCACTGCGTGACTGTTTGTACAGCAAGATCAAGGACTCGCCTGCCATGAAGTGGGAGCTCGGACTTCATTACGAGCACCTGAATTACGATGATCCTAGACGCAGTTATGCCAATCTCCTGAACATCATCGACAGGACCATCATGAGAAGACGTGAACAATCCAATCTCGTCCAGACTCAAGTTGGATTACGTCAGATGCTTGAAGGGAAGCATCTTCTCGCAGCTCCTGCTAAATCGTCTTCTGCACCGGCACCCAAAGGCGCTCAAAAGGGAAACGCCAAAGCCGATGATGCTGCACCAGTGCTTCCTCAAAGCAAGGCCAAAGCGCACGCCAAGGCCAAGAACAAGCCGAAGAAGGACAACAGAGCTCCTTCGTCTGCTCCTTCTACAACGAAGAACTTGAAGCATGTGCGGTGCAAATTCCATTTCACGGATGCAGGATGCAAGAATGGGGGTAAATGCCCTTTTAGTCATGCGAAGAAGACTCCGGAGACTCCGAATCGTTCGAGGACTCCTAGTCCTTCCGGGCGTGCGAACAAGCATATATGCTTTTCCTTTAAGAAGAATGGTATGTGCTCCAGAGAGAACTGTCCGTTCAAGCATGAAGTCGATGCAACTCCGGCACCTACCCCAGCTCCAAAGGCGGATGCCAAAGCCAAGCCAAAAGCAGATGCGAAGCCAAAGGCTGAGCCCGGCGCTGCAGCAAAGAAGACGCCGAAGTCGAAAGCAAAGCCCGCAGCACCGGCCATTCGCATGTGCAGGTAGGGGTATCCAGTGGCTCCAGCTGTGGGAAGAAGATCTTCGTACATGCTCGACGAGGACGCGGATTCAGATTGTTCTTCCGTTGACAGCGACGCTGATTCGGATTGCTCAACCGACGACGAGGTAACCGGGGAAGCCGGGGCGGCTTCCCCGACCCGACCGGTTCACCCAAGGAACGTCGAGTTTCGTTTGCCAAGGATGTCAAGTTTCAGTCATCTCGACCTAGAAGGTCGTACAAAGACAAGAAGAGCGAAGTCATCAAGGTCGACGTTGAAGCGATCATGAACGATGAGCGAAGGGAGGTTGAGTTGGAATTTGCAAAGCACAAAGCGAGGCTGAGAGCACAGATCATGAAGGATATGATCGATGATCCCAATGATCAAGGTGATCGGATCTCATATGTTCGAATACCTGGTACGAAGAGAGTGGCAGAAGTGGCATTCTATGCAGGAGATGACCAGATGTTTGAGC